AGCAAAGCAAAGCCGAGACAGCAAAATAATTAGGTACAAACGGAGCGCTCCATTCAGCACGCCCTCTGGTTGATTTAATTATACAAGTGTAGGTACTGGCCAACATCAAATGGCTTTAGCTGTAGCCTCTACCATGGTGTTCGCTCGTGATCGCATATCTACATCTACAAATTAGACTTTATTAATCTAGTTTACGAATTGAAAGGGGAATTTAATACAACAACATTTTGGCCATTGAGAGCGGAGTTTGAGTTTAATATCATTCATTTGCGAAATTAATGAGTAGATTTTTGTTTTATTATTTTGTAAACAGCTTCTTATTTGAGCGTTTCGAGTTTTGTTTGATCGTTTCATTCGTCTATTACTTAGTTACTTTCGTTTATTATTTAGTTAATTTGGTAATAACATGTTTTACCGCCGTGCTCAGAGTCATTTAATAGCTACTAAATCCAGTCCTTAGTAATTGTTTTCGGAACAAAAATTGTTACTAAGGAATACTTTAAAGTCTCTGAGTATCGCAGTTACAGTTAGTGCTACAGTTAGGCACATTCAGGTATTGTCTTGACTATGGAACTAGCCAGTGGAATCGATATAATTAATATCCAGTATTCAATGGCCCAAATCAATGCTTTTTTAGCAATAACCATCGTGCAGCTTTTATGGTTTTGGTCGAAGCAACTAAAATATCGTGTTTCGACTTTTGTTCCAATTTACTCAGTAGGTAGGTAAGTACTCCACGTGAACGGTCCTAGACTAATTATCTATTATTAAAATGAAAATAAACCTCTATGAGGTTAGTTTTGTGAACACAAGCTTATTATTACAACATTATTAGTGTAAGTTTCGTGACTGGATCGCTTCAATTGGTCACGCAAACGCACGCACTTGAATTAATTGTGGTACGGTATGTCTGTATAGAGGTTGTAGTGGCGATAGCACATGAAGCTACATGGGCCATGTCTTTTAAAATATCAAGCATAATATCTATGACTGTATATTAGCTTTTCCTATGATTTTACTCACTTTCCAATGTCATAGCATTTTTTTTAGGGGGGGAACATCATCGAATGACTGCTCCCGTCTGTGTGCGACTCGGGAGGGAGTGTCAGACTCTTACTGACTAAAAACCACCCCGTTCGTTCTCCTGCACGTTGAGCCGGAGCCCCGGTTACCCGTTAGGCTCTCCGCGACAATGTCATAGCATTAAGATAGCTTACAAATTTTTCATCAACTTGACAATTCGTCTGATCGCTTGTCTCATATAAAAAACGTATATCTCTCTGTAGGTATACTTAGATTTAAACATTTAATCAATTAAATAAACTTTTAATTATTCGTTTACAGATAAAATGTAGCGTTTAGAGTTGAACATTCGAACCTAAAAAGAGAAACCATTACACATTAACCTCATGAACAAAATCGTCTCAAAAGGCCCCGTATTGTATAAAGCCACATACTTATTAATCTTGACGATCGCTACTAAATACATTAGAGGGGTTCATCCCTGGAGACTCATACATCGTTCCCGGGATAAAAATCCCGGGCATCGCATAAGCCGGGACAAAGTTTCTACGACACTATAAGCTGTCACGGACGTAATGACGTCACTAAGGCTATACGTTCACTTGGCGACAAATGTTCCTTTCAACGCAACACAACATTATACTGGTGGAAACTAAAGCTAGATTCCTGGGTTATAATAAACAGACAGAGATAAAACTTTTTTGTCTATGTGAAGGTGTTATGATACGAAGAATGGCGAGAATTTTTGTTTTCATGGCATAAGCCGGTAAACGAGCAGACGGATCACCTGATGGTAAGCAATCGGCGTCACCCATGAACACTTGGAAGACGAGAGACGTTACAAGTGCGTTACCGGCCTTTTGGGGATTAGGAGTTTGAGGATCGTTGGGGATTCAGGAATTGCGTAGATTAGGGAATGGGAGGGTAATTGGGCCTCCGGTAACCTCACTCACACGACGAAACACAACGCAAGCGTTGCTTCACGTCGGTTTTCTGCTCGGCCGTGGTATCACTCCGGTCGAGCCGGCCCATTCGTGCCGAAGCATGGCTCTCCCACACTTATAGAATTATTAAGTTTGGCCAATTGGCCATCACAATCATTGCCAAAATGCAGTGAAACGGTGACTGACGACGAACAAGTTCAACAACAAACACCTTGACAGTACGGTTGGTGCGCCAGTCAAGTGGGTGGGCAACTGGCTGCCGCGCAACGTGTCGCGGGTTCGAATCCCGCATGAAACAACTCTTTGTGTGATCCACAATTGTTGCTCCGGGTCTGGGTGTCATGTGATATCATATGTTTGTAAACGCACCCACGACACAGGATAAAACCCTAGTGTGGGGCAACGTTTTAACTTAAACTAAACTAAGGTAATTAAATAAATGTTACAAGAAAGGTGGAAAATACTGAGATTATCATAATACAGATTAATTACAGTACAGGTTTTCCCGCTCAAAACATTTATAATATTCTCTTATCATTTAGATCTAAAATACCTATTGGTGCCTGCCTCGTTGGCCAAGTGGTTGCAAGGGCGACTGCCGAGCAAGGGGTCTCGGGTTCGATTCCCGGGTCGGGCCATAATAGTGAAAAGTGGGTGTTGCATTGTACAATGGCATTAAGTGCCGTAATGTGAAATACCTATTTTTTTTAACACAATAAATCTTCCCAAAGATTATAAGTTAGATATCTTTCAATTATCATCAAAACACATCCAAACAGTTTTCAATTAATTCGATTAAAATAAATCGATTCGAGAACTCGATAAGCATTAATCGAATATTCCAAGTAAATCGAGTTAGCGGCGTACGGCGGCGGCGTTAGACATATCATTCACGCAAGTTTAACATAATTAGGGCAAACAATTGAAAGTTCTGTCTGAGTGTCTAGACTCCACGTTATAGCTATTATAGCGACTTTGTACGTCAACTACTTAATGAAGTTAATGAGAATAAAGAATACACTACTCTCTGCGAGAAATGAGAAGTCTTGACGTGATAACTTAATAGTTAGTACAGTGCCAAGATCACTCCGTACTCCAATCTGTCAAATTTATTCATTGTATTTTCGACTTTATGTCCATACAATAAAGGTGAACATGTAATAAAGAAATACAGAAAAGGATAGCTGGACCTGCTGGCCGCCGTATGTTGTGATGAGAACAGAATAGAATACATAATTTGTCCCCACCTCTACTCTCCCCGTGGGTATCATACGCTGACTAGCGAACCACATATAGGGTAATAGGGTAGACGACTAATTTTTATTTTAATGTCCGTCTGGTAGATTATTTAAAAACATTAGACAGGTATTTTTTATTTTCTTACGGAAACGAATAGTTTCGAAGATATATTGATTTGAAATGTCGCGTGACGTCACTTCTCAGTACATTTTATACTAAGAAATGACGTTTTAGCCCCCACTCCTAAACTTTGATTCGTTTTATCTAAGTATTGTTTTATTATACAACAAAATAAAAAAATACGTGTCTAATATTTTTTTATTACCTAAGTTACGGACTAATTAGATTTTTAATTTTCATACCCTGTCATCATCCCCATTGGACAGCAACGCCATTTGGTACTTAGGTAAACCTGAACCTTTTGAATTGGGTACTTGCCAACTAGTCAAATTCAATACTTTTTTCGACTGTCATTATCGACAGTTTTCTATGAATTTTGTGCGAGATTGTAGTATAATAATTAAGTAAGTTGGTCATAAAATAAATTATTGAAAGTATTTTTTAATATTTTATTGTATTGAGTCGTCGAAATAATTTATTTTTGATTGAGGAAAGTGCCCAATTGTTTTCTCCAACCCACGTCTTAATTTGGAGATTACGAAAAATCTATATATATATATAGGAAGACCAAAATCCAACAGTGGCCTGTCAAGGAACGTTGATGATAATACTGGACTCATATTGCATTCATGCCTCTTTGTACAACAGGTACAATGATGTCATGACAAAGATGAAGTACTAGGGCAGTATACTCATACAGAAGTCTGTCATAAATTCCCACCGCATATACGAAGCGTATGTTCATCTCCTTAGTTTTCTGGTGTCCTGGTAATTTTGGAAGCGAGGCACGTTTCCCTAAGCCCGCCGCTAGAGCCCCGCGACATGTGTGATCTGTCTTGTATGAGAGTTAAGGCAGGCTCTAGTACACAAACCTTGTCTGTTTGCTTGCTTACGTGTTTGCTTTAAAATTACAGATGATTATATTGTTTTTTATCTTGAGTATACAACTATAGAATCGAGTTTGCCTTAAATTATTCAAACACTATGCTAAAACTACAAATAACGGTTTACTCACTGAGAAAAGTTACTAGTATGGAGTCACAGAGGCATAGGAGATATTCAATATCCCTTTAAAATGAATTTCATGTTGACTACGTTCTTAGCTTTCTTAAAGAATATTAAAGGTTGGCAAAGGTAATGGTCTTTACCTACTCCCATGGAACACAGGTGTGAGGTTATGTATGGATGTATGTAAATGTAATAGAACGCTATCAACCAACCCAGATTAAACGCATGTGTTAATTTGTCTCCAGCCACAGTTTCATTGTAGAGAGGACCAAACAAAGTCCTACAACTATTTTGAAGTGTGTTAAAGTTTTTGCTTCCAAACTTGTATTGTTCCGTAACTCTACCTTCGCGATATAAACATTCTAGAAGATTATATCGATGTAATTGTACTGTCGAGTATCGTGCAAGCTGCTTATGATTATAGGCCCTGGCATAGCTTGTAACTAGTCGACTTACTTCGTAGAGCAGTTAAACCAAGTTTAATTAAATTAATAATAACAAATTATTATTTATTTTAAAGCATTTTAACTCGTCGAGTACCGGTTTAGTAGACACAATTATAGAACAATAGGTTGCGGTCACCGGTGACCGCTTGGTGTTTGACAGTTTAATATTTAATTGTAATTTCCTTAATTTATCATTCTGACTTAATTGATAGGTACTTACCAGCGACGCCTCAAAGCCTCTTACAAAGGCGAACCTGTGGACAAAACGATATTATTAATATACAAAAAAGGACACTCCAAAAACATTAATATGCACGCCATAATCGATCATAATATAGTATATAGTCGATCTTGTCTAAATAGAAACAATATATTTAAAGAGAATTTTGTCCCCGAAGACCCCTTCCACCCAGGCAGAGGTGCACACTACGGCACTTAAACTGTCAAACACCAAGCGGTCACCGGTGACCGCAACCTATTGTTCTATAATTGTGTCTATAATGACGGTAATCGACGAGTTAATGCCACTGTACCCACTTTTCACTATTTTATGTTATGGGTCATATACCGGGTCTTATAACATTGCCATATACCGGGCACAATTCCAGACTCCGAGGTACCACTGAGAATTTTTTTTAAACCCAGTAATACTTCGCCCGTTCCGGGAATCGAACCCGAGACCCCTTGCCCGGCAGTCGCACTTGCGAACACTCGTCCAACGAAGCATAAAACATCTGTAAGTTTTACCAAATGCCTATGGGCGCACTATGAAAGTGACCTTTAAAATTGTATTCTACCAAACAAGACAAATTTCAAACAATGAAACAACTATGAAACGCCATTAAAACAATTCAGAACAATAATAATCGGCAGGCAATTAAATCTTACCGCCATATTGTATCATAGTTCATACTACAACTCGAACTATTTGATATTCGGCATGACTTTATAGACAATGGAGTTTATGTCACTAAATATAGGGTCTTTGTAGGACAAAAGACAATGTTTCAACAAAGGCTTTAAGTTAAACTGTTATAACGATGTTTGGCAATTGGCTCGCCCTTACAGATAGTTACAGAAGCAAATCATTAGGTACCTATAAGTATTCCGAAAACGATTGGTCTGATTTTAATGAATAACTATTAAAAATCTAAGAATTAAAAACCAAACTAACATAGAAAGGTAAAACAAGAATTAGGTTTTACATTTTGAAAATGCTAAACTTTGTGTTTGCTGTCATTGCTAGTAGCCACATTACACGATAGTCGAAACGGACACCAAAGTCAATGTGGGCGTCAGGTAACGTCAGCTTTGACATTTCACATAATTTCGATGATAACACCATTTGTTGACTATTCTATACTGCAGCTGTAGCCAAATGTCATTTAGCACTTGTCTACATGTAGAATAGAAAATCAAATTATTTGGTATTGACGTATATTTTGACACTTGTCAGTGTCATCCCCATACTTACATTTAGTTTTCTATTCTCTCTGTAGACAAGCGCTAAAGTGGCGTTTGGCTAAAGGCACTGTTTATTAGCTTTTATGCCATTAATTGGTTATTAGTACCGAGTTCAAGAAAGTGGATTTGTCTCGGGTTACTCAATTAGAGAATAACAAACACAATATTATGTTCATTGCTATTCCAAACCCATCACATTCGAACCCGACTCACATTCAACCCCCAATACTTTCTTTATGAACTTGAAATTCGGAACACGATTACTTGATTCTTTTCGTTAATCAAAATCAATTTCATATTAAGTTCCAAATGTAGGTTAAATTGACTAGAGCGACCTCTATATTGAAGTAATGAGTTGGAATAAATGATGGAGTATTGATGTTTGAAATGGTCGCTACGTTAAGCTGCGCCGTCAGGACCTGTCAGTCAACTACTTAATGCTTAGTTTGTACTAGGCTGAATATTTCACTGTAACGGTCGATTTAACCCTAGACTGGAATATTTAATCTGTTTTATCGAGTACCTACGTAGTTGAGTCTTTAGTCTAGACTTGTAGAGGTTGTAGTGTTATGATCGATCTCTCTATCAGCTAACGTAGACTAGTCGTGCGTTTTTTTTACTACCAAAATTCGCAGTTATTGTTCAGGACTATTCTTTGATAGATTTTTAACTTTATTACAGACTAGCGGCCCGCCCCGGCTTCGCACGGGTACATACACACACACACATACACCCTTCTTTTATGCGTCGGGTTTAAAAAAAAAGTAAAATTATAAAGGAAGTTAGAATTTTTTTAAATGCATTTTTTTATTTAATTTTTTTATTAATGTTTTTTTTTGTTTTTTTTTTTAATTTTAATTTTGACGTGACAACGTCTTAAATTAGGTTGCGGCTGGGAGTCACTTATGAAAAAGTGTAACGCTCGGTAACGTTACGATGAGTCACCGAACGAGAGAGAGGCCCGCCGAATGCCTTGCGTCTCTCTCCCACTCAACTATGATCGGTCTGCCGCGCGCGCAGCACTAGTTCATTCAATTCCTTGTTCCTATTGTGCAATTTAATTATATTCATATCAATAAATATTCTACCGAGAAAAAGACGTTGTCACGTAAAATCTTCGCCCGTAAAAACGACTTTACAGGCAACCATTTTTTTTTTA